ATGTTTTCAATAAAACATTACATTTAATTTGTCAATATGTATTTTAATTATAACATTATTTATTAAATTTTTAAATTTTAATTATCAAAGCAATATTAAAAATTTATAATTATAGTTTAGAAGATTAATGAGTCAAGATGCATTAAAATTTTCTGCAATTCATTGATCTTCAAAAAGGTACATATTCATATTTTCAATGGGAAGAGCTTCTCCGATTTCATTATTAATATAATTTGAGTCTGTACCATAAGCTAAAACTTTTTTTAGGTTATTTTCAACCGATACGAAATCAGTAAAAATATAATCCATCCTATACTCTTGATCGAAGAAGTTACAAACGTAATAATCTTCTTCTATGGGAAGATATGAATTCAGTGGCATAAAAATTATATCCTCAACGGAAACCTCAAAGTCTTGGGTATAATCTGAATCAACATGCAGAGGTGGAAATTATACGTTCTCGCATTCCAACTTTTTAATATACACTTGATTGTTAGGAACTTGATTCATTAAATTCAGGTCTTCAAAAAAATTACTATTAGGAAAACTAGCTTGGGAATAATTGATATAATTGTTGTCGAGGAAAAAATTCATAACACTGGCAGAATTATCTTCAATCGGAAGATCACTTATTAAATTTTGCGTATAAATTATATTTTTAACGAGATCCTCAATGTTTTGAATATAATTTGAGTTAGCTTTATTAGTTACACCTGTAATACATAAACCTTTTCAACTTCATTCATATATTTATCAAATAAAATTTGAATCAGATTTTTCAGCTTATACAAAGATTTAGCTTTCTCAGATAGCTTTTTGTAAAATTCTTTTACATTTTCTGGTTCTTCATCCCAGTAACATGATGTAATTTTAGAAAGGTGACGCATAGAAGGTAATTTGATGTTTCTATTACGATTCTCTTTAATTAATATATAATGAAAGCATTTGGAAAAGTTTTTGCCTTTTTATTATTGTTAGGTGTTTTAATAACACTAATAATTTTATTTATTGTTAAGATGGAAGGGAATGTCAGTTTGAGAATATAATTAAAGCCATCATTGCCAATATTTAACTTGGAATTGATATCTGATTTAATAATGCGATTGATATTTGTTAACTTTCTGGTTTTAGGCATTTTTTTTTTTTAAAAAAAAAGAAAAATTGAATAATGTGAGATATAATATTAAATATTGTTATTATAAAAAATTATCTTATTTATTTTTTTTATTGATAGGAAATAAAAAAAAAACACGAAAAATAATTTCCTTTATATAAAAATATTTTTTAATCCTTTGTCGAACCCAATCATGAGGGATGGTATTATGAAAAAAAGGCGAAAAATTTGTGCAGGAAATTTTTGCGAGTGAATATCTTGCCTAAATCAAGCTTAATTTGAATAATGTATATGTAAGTATAACTATCACCAATAATAGTTTATATTGTATAATATTTCCCTATCACTAACTTTAACCTTTTAAAGTTTCTTTGAGAAACTATTAATTAGGAACATGACCTTCAAACACGAAACCAGGCATTCTGAATGCTAAAGAAATCCATAATTGAACCAAAATACCCTCACCATCATATTCGATAAATCTCAAAAAGCTTAAACAATCTGAAATGGTTCAGCATGTAGAAGAAAGCGGTAGACCAAGAAAAATTGAAGCAAATGCATCAAGAGCACTAACCCAATATGTTCGTCAGGATTCTTCAATTTCTATAATATCTTTGGCAACAAAATTGTCTTCAGGTGGTATGGACGTGTCCTATAAAATGGTAAGAAAACATTTGGCTGATAATGGATATTAAAAAAATTATTAATAAATCGACTGATTTTCAGCTTTCAAATATATAAATTTCATGTGGTATGCCTTTTTTTTTTGCATAATGCTCAGTTTTATAGATATAATGAAAAATAAATTTCAATCATTGGTGTATTTTTGATATACAAATATTTGGTAAATCGAAAGATCATATTATTATTTTAATATATATAAAGGAAATTTTATTTTCGTTCAAGATAAAATATGTGGACTAATTTTTTTATAAACTACAAACTCAACTTTATATCTATTAGAATGTTACTTACTATTTTTATTATTTTATTTTTTATAAAATAAATGCTTATAACAATAAAGCAAAAAAAAATAAATTTAAATATCAATCCAACTTTAATAAAGAAAACTAAAATTGGTGACAGCAGGTTTTCAAACCGACTCCTTATCTTTAAATGACATTATAAGTGTTATTGAAGCACCTAATAATAATAAAATATTTCAAATGCTTTTATTGAGTATAAATAAGTATTAATTTAAAGAGAATCGTAATGGAAATATCAAATTGCCTCCTTCAGGTCAACTTTTCAAAATTGCATGAAGAGCACAAAGAGCTATCCGATGATGTTTATACTTTATAGTTGACCCCTATTTAGTTACACTCTCGGGACTGAAAAAATAAATACTATATGATGTGACTAAAAAAAGGTTTTTTTTTAATAAGTTTATTAGTAACTTGGGCTAATGTAATTGTGCTTTTAAACTATATGATATTATCATATCTAAGATACGATAGTTTTATCATTCCTAAAGAATGATGCATTTATTATACCTTAAGTATGATGATTTTATCATTTTTAAGATATAATGATATTATCATTTCTTAGGTATGATAATGGTTTTATCATTTCTAAAGAATGATACATTTATCATTCCTAAAGAATGATGCATTTATCATTTTTTAAGGATGATTATTTTATTGTTTCTTAGATATGATGATTTTATTATTTTAAGGTACAATAGTATTATCATTTCTTAGGAATGATAGTATTATCGTATTTAAGAAATAATAGTTTTATCATTCTTAAGCAATGATTATTTTATCGTATCTAAGGAATAATGATATTATCGTTTAATTTTATCATTTCTAAAGTATGATAATATTATCATTTCTTAAAGATAATAGTTTTATCATTCTTAAAGAATGATTATTTTATTGTTTCTTAGAGATAATAGTTTTATCATTTTTTAGGAATAATAGTATTATTATTTTAATGAACTGAATTTTTGGGTTAAACTGATTTGCTAAAATAATATTGATTTAATATACTATTTGAGTTTATTTCTAGTATATAGAAATATTTATATAAATAAGCTTAATTAACTTTTTAAAAAATAATTTCAATCATTTTCAAATTTCTCTTTTTATATTTCACCAAAATCCCAAAAAAAATCATCCCAAAAACAAAAAGACCTTAAGTTAAATTTTAGTCAATTTTCACCTTTAACTATTAAAATCAGATGAAGAAAAAGCTGTATTTTAGTCAACTTTTCAAAAATAAACTTATTTTTCTTACTTTTTATAATAGAAATATACCTTTAACCATCAAAATCAGACGAAACTTAAGTTGAATTTTAGTCAATTTTTCTGATTTTTTTACTTTTTATAATAAAAACATACTTCTAACTATCAAATCAGACGAAAATTAAGTTGAATTTTAATCAATTTTTCTGATTTTTTTTTTACTTTTTATAATAGAAACATATCTCAAACTATCAAAATCAAACGAAACTTAAGTTAAATTTGTCAATTTTTTTGATTTTTTTACTTTTTATAATAGAAACATACTTTTAACTATCAAATCAGACGAAAATTAAGGTGAATTTTAGTCAATTTTTCTGATTTTTTTTTACTTTTTATAATAGAAATATGCCTCTAATCATCAAAATCAAATAAAACTTTAGTTAAATTTTAGTCAATTTTCTGATTTTTTACTTTTTATAATAGAAAAATACCTTCAACCATCAAAATTAGACAAAATTTAAGTTAAATTTTTGTGATTTTTTTTTACATTTTATAATAGAAATATACCTCTAACTATTAAATCAGATGAAAATTAAGTTAAATTTTAGTTAATTTTTCTGATTTATTTTTACTTTTTATAATAAAAACATGCCTCTAACCATCAAAATTAGGCAAAACTTAAGTTGAATTTTTGTGATTTTTCTGATTTTTTATTCTTTTTTTTTGAAAATAGAAATATTACTATAATGAATATTTAGGACGATTTTAGAAGGAAAATAGATTATATTTTTATTATTTTACATAGTTTTCCATTTTTTACTTATATTTTTTAAATAAAAAATTAATCAGTGAGTTTTGGTAATATTTATTATATTTTTATGAATTATATTAGATTTTTATTATTAATAAAATTATAATATTTAATAAATTTAATAAATATAATATATCAAATTTATATGCTTATTTGACTGAATTGATACCAAATTGAGACCAATTTTAGGCTGATTTATGATTATTTAGATTCTGAATTGATGCTGAATGATGCTGAATTAAGATCAATTTTAGGCTGATTTATGATTATTTAAGTTTCAAATTGATGCTGAATAATGCTATATTGAGATCAATTTTAGGCCAATTTATGTTATTTAAGTTTTGAATTAATGCTGAATGATGCTGAATTAAGGTTAATTTTAGGCTAATTTATGGTTGAATTTAAGTTCTGAATAGCTATGTCTGATTAAAATCAATCAGCATCCATCAGCATCTGAATTATTACTGAATTGAAACCAATTTTAGGCTGATTTATAATTGAATTTAAGTTCTAAATTGATGCTGAATGGCCATGTATGATTAGAGTCAATCAGTATCTATTAGTATCTGTTTATAATAATTAGAAAACATGATAAATCAACCATAAATAGTATCAAAATCAGCCTAAAATCAGCCATCTGATTTTTAGCTGATTTGGATTATTTTGACTAGTGATTGTATATACCTTCTTTTATTAATGAGTTATTTAAATACATAACTCATGCATCTTGTTGGAGTCTAACTATTAGTGACATATTTATTATTGTTTTAAATTCTATTTAAACATGTTCTAGTAATACTTATTTACTTTCTATAAATCTATAGCTTCTGCAAATAAATATTTTTTATTATTAATTGAAAATAAGTTACAAATCGTATTGTTAATTTGTTTTGATATTTTAAAATATCTAACAATATGTATTATTATTAATAATGAATTTGAAGATTGATTATTATTATAATTTGTAGCTTTTTCTATAAGTTTAGTTCAAGTTACATTTGATATTTTTCCAAATATAATTTCTTCTAACATTTTATAAAATTCATTATCTTCATTATGTCTTTGGAATTTGTACAAAAATAAAGGATGAAATAATTTGCTATACTGATGAATAAAATACAGCTTCACCTCTTACTGGTAGAAGTTGTGTCAAATCACCTGCAACTATTACACAGATATCTCCAAATGCTATATTAAAATTGTGAATTTTAACAAATAAATCAGAAATAAAATTAAATAATAAAGTAGAAATTATTGATAGCCTGATTCTATTTATACTATTCTAAGTTCAGAATGAATAGTAAATTTTATAATATTTTGTATAACTATTCCTATTAGTGCTATTAAAAGATAAGTTTTTCTTTCTAATTTTATCCAATCAATAATTAATTTGATTAAATATGATTTTTCAGTTTTACTGAATTCTGTAATAAAGAAAAATGGATATTTTTAGATTGTAATATTAGTCCAAAAGTAGATATACAGTCACACCTCGATATAACGAAGTTGCCGATCCAGCCGATCAGGACTTCATTATAAGAATCTTCGTTAACGCT